AGCCTCCAATCATCAGGCCGTTTGGGAGACACTAATTGAATGATTGATACAAACGTTGGCAGAGCAGAGCCTTTATGGGAGCGGTGGAGCGACGCGTCCGTCCAATCGTCTCCGTCCCTGGCAGGAGCCGCAGTGTGTCTTTGGTGAGCATGAATAGCTCCTCTCATTGGAACAAGCAACATGTCTCTGTCTTCCATATGCCGTCCGCCTGGCATGCAGATCCATCATGGCGTATTAGCGCCGGTGTCTTCCTGCTCTGGCGCTTCATACTGGTGCATGGAGGCCAGTAAAGCTGGCCAGTCCAGCTGGGAGGGCAGCAGGCCACGGAGGAGCTGCTGCCTTCAAAGAGAGAGAGAGAAACGATTTTTAAATGTTTTGACCCCGGCGGGCGTTTGATCTATCGCTTTCATCAGAATTTGGACATTTTATTGGAGATGAAACATCTTTATATTCAGTTCCACTTCGAGACATCAACCCCAGACTGGAATAAAGAAAGTTCATAAGGAAAACAATACATAAGGAGATCCGTCGCCACTTTCCAAAGATCTGAAATGTGACCCAAACTGCCCCTCTCAGATGAAAACAAACAATCCTAGAAACCACTAATCACAAAGCTAGCTGAGAACTAGCTACTGCTACCAGTGTCACTGTCCTCCATTTCAGGTGTTGGAGCACTAAGTGAATCAACAGACCAAAGATTGGTGCTAGCATCAGGTAACGAGTCAAAGCTAGCAGCTGTATTTACTGTTAGCTTGCTATGATAGCATCAAACAGCTGTACTTGCTGGGTGTGCTAGGCATTAGCAATAAGATCTGTTCAGCTAAGCTTATTGTTAACTATATATTAGCAATGTAATAGTTATCCGTTAGCTAGATATTGGCAATAGAAGCTTACAGATAAGCTAGGTATTAGCAATACAATCAGCTAAGCTCATTTTTAGCTAGCTATTAGCAATATAATAACAGTTAAAAGGTAAGCTCTTTTAGTAATAAGAGCTAAAAGAGCTCACTGTTAGTACTGTTTTAGCATAGGATTAGCCAAGCTAACTGATAAGTTGACATTAGTAATATGATAACAACTAACAGCTAACCTTACTGTTGGCAAGCTATACGCAATAAGATCAGCTATGGTAAATGTTAGCTGGCTATTACCACAATGGTAGCGGTTAGCTTTGAGCAATAAGATCAGCTAAGCTAATCTTACTCTTTCGCTAATGTCAAAGTAAATTGCTGACTTGACCTTTTGTGATGTGTAAATGGAAAAGTTTACAGTTTGGACTCTGAGATGTGGGCATTTTAAAAGTCGTGTTTAACCTGTCTGTCACTAGAGGACCCAAATTTGGGTCCTCTAGTGACAGGGGTGTCAAACTCCAGTCCTCAAGGGCCGCTGTCCTGCAACTTTTAGATGTGCCTCTGCTGCACCACACCTGAAAAGAATAATTAGGTCATTAGCAAGGCTCAGGAGAACCGATCTACACAGGGAGGAGGTAATTAAGCCATTTCATTCCACTGTTTTTTACCTGTGGCACATCTAAACACTGCAGGACAGCGGCCCTTGAGGACTGGAGTTTGACACCCCTGTCATTGTGAATGACAACCTGAGACCAACAGGTTAAAATGTTTTGCATATTTAAAAAGTTTATTTGAAAGTGTCTTGAACTCTGCTTTGCTTCAGTTACACAGCCGAAAATAAGCAACACATATTTAGAATAAAATTACAGCCAAACTACCCGCATTGGAATGCAATTTGAGTGCTGGAGCTATTTTATCTCGTGGCTGTTATTTCTACAGGAGGCTGCTGAGGCTGCGCATGATGGAGGTGAAGCCAAGCCGTCGCGTCTGCTCTCCTTGGATGCTTTCCGAGGGTATGTACGCCATCAACAACCATCCTTTTTATCAGGCTATCACCACATGGGCCCGTTCACATGCTAATTCCCTTTGCAGCAGTCAAGGCATGATGAAGATCTGCAGGCCCGGTATAATAAATAATTACATGGGTCACCGTCTGGCCACATGCTCCCTGAAGCTATTGTTATGAGGCGGTGTAGCTTTGGGCATGGTTTCTGATATGAGAGCGCTGCCGGTTTGGAACAGAGTGTTTCTGTTGGACAGGAGTGATGCATGTGATTGAATCTGGGCTCCCTGTTTGCCTTAATTGTGGCCTGAGGGTAGACACAAAGCACGCCTCTGTGGAAACAGGATGCTGGTGTGGCTTTGACCTCCCCCTTGCCAAATAATTGATGTAATAATATCATCAACATATCAGCACACATCCACACGGCCATAGATCTCCTGCCAAACCAGAGAGCGAGAGGAAATTCAGCAGGACACGGATTACATCCAGCAGACGACCTGCATCATTTCCATCTGTGGCTTCCCCTCTGCAGGAAAACCAATTTGAATCTGTTCTGCACACATCCCAAATGTAATATGCAACATTTTCATGTAGTTTACAAGCAGAACCTGGAAAGACATGTTTCATCTTCAGCTTTCACTGCAAAAACACAAAATCTTACCAAGCATTGGTCTGGTTTTAAGTGCAAATATCTCAGTACACTGGAAATGAGACAAAACTGGGTTAGAAGTAGGTTTTCAGCAAGATGGAAGCTATTTTTAGAGTCAATAATTCCTTAATTTTGATGAAAAAGTTCTAGTACCATTCCTAGATTACTTCACTTATAACATAATACCTGCTCATAATTTATCTGTAAGCTCTTATTGCCAATAACTAGCTAACAGTAACTCTAGCTGTGATTATATTGCTAATATCTAGTTAACAATAAGCTTAGCTGAACTGATCTTATTGCTAAAACCTAGCTAACTGAATCTTTACCCGTTAGCTGTTACCATATTGCTAGCTAAAAGTTAGATTAGCTGATCTTGTTACTCATCCTTAGTTTATCTGTAAGCTCTTACTGCCAATAACAGCTAACAGTTTGTTTAGCTGATATTGCTAATATCTAGTGAATAACTAGCCTAGCTAAACTGATCTTATTGCTAATACCTAGCTTGTTTAGCTATTTGTTGTTGCATTGCGAATAGAGAGCTAACACTAAATACAGTAGCTGTTACATTGCTGATGGCAAGTGGACAGTAAATTTAGCTGTTAATGTATTGCTAATAGCTAACAGTAAACTTAGCTGTTGTATTATTGCTAGTGGCAAGTTAATAAGCTTAGCTGAACTGATCTTATTGCTAATATGTAGCATGCCCAGCCTGTATCGGTGTTGATCATATTGCTATAGCGAGTCAACAGTAAATACTTTCTTTTTTATCAATATTAAGGCATTATTGAATAAAAACAAGCTTCTGTAGCTTTCTGAAAAGTTACTCTTGAGTTATTTTTGTTTTATTGCAAGTGTTCTTAGATGTTTTTACAAGAAACTAGACCAAAAATACTTTGAGATTTTGTTTTTGCAGTGTTTTGCTCCATGTTTCAATCTGAAAACCATCTGGTCTAAGATTACAAACACTTTTCCCCACATTGATGTCCTGACTGATGACACATGAGATGACATTTAATCAAACTGTGACTCAGCACTGAAGATTTACGCTGCAGGTGCCTCCTCAGCCCTGTGACTTATGATCCATAACCCTGATAAGTTACAACTTTCTGCAGAGAACAGACGCATCAGTCACCTGCCATAAACTCTGAGGCATTTCTGAAGGCTTTCCTTCGCAGCTGAAAGCTTTTTCTGGCTCCGCTGACATGATATACAGAGAAACCCGGGTTATGGTCGCACGTTAATTTTTCTAAAAGGATTTGGATTTTTAATCTTGTGCCCCATGGCTGAAAGCCTTTCGTCGGGTTTTTCTCTCCGGTGAAAATCTCACTGTTAGTCAATATATTCAAACTATTACAACAAAACCAGATGGCTGACTCACTCTGAGCCTTACTTTGACTGGCATCCAGGTTTTCTGATCCAGTTTCACGTGTGATCAGACAAACAGAACCTTGGCTACGGTTCACCTTGGACAGTTCGCCAACCCACAGGACAGATATCTTTACACACATTCATACCTCAGTGTAATTTAGAGAGACTAAATAATCTAGCATCTGTATTTTTTCGGCTGTAGAGGTGCAGCGTAGGAGGAACATGCAAACTATCCAGAAACATCCCTTAGTTAAATGTACCTTTACCACTGATGTTTGTAGCCATCAATAGCCTTCTGGGATAATTTTTCTTTGCAGTATTCTTGAAAATGTTGGTTTATTAAACTGTTTGGTTCCCTGGAACAAACCTGACATTTATGCATATAGTCCACACACTGCAAAACCACAAAATCTTACCAAGTATTTTTGGTCTAGTGCAAATGCCTGAGCACACTTGAAAGAAGACAAGCTAACTTAAAAACAGGAGCTTGTTTTAAACCAATAAGTCCTTAATATTGATGAAGAACTACTAGTTCCACCGGCAGATTTCCACTTATAATACCTAGTACTTTTTCATCAATATTTAGGAATTATTTACTTAAAACAAGCTCCTGTATCTTGCTGTGAAACTACTTGTAAGTTAGTTTTGTCTAACTTATATTTCAAGTGTTCTAATATATCTGGATTAGAAACAAGATAAAAATACTAGGTAAGATTTTGTGTTTTTGCAGTGCAGAGTTTCAGAAGGGTTTTGGAAAGGCTGTTCAGGAATGATAATCTTCCTAAAGTCTGATTGGGTTCATTATGGTTGGTGTGTAAAATCCTGAAATAGGACTGCTGATCATTTCTGGTTAATGTTTTAAGGGTCCTTAAAGGGGGATTTATTATGCAAAATTCTTATTTTTGATATTTTTGTACTTCCATTTGGGTTTCTGCTGCTTCTAAAAGCAGTTCAAATGTTTTAAAAAAAAATCACACAGCCATTATTTGGCAATAAATTAATGTTTTTGGTGTCTGGAAAATGAGATGTTTCAAAAACCTCCTGAATGTAACGTCACTAATCAGCAGGCGCTGCTCCTCACCTAGTGACCCCAGCAGAGCCCAGCCCGTTACCTAGCAACCCCACCGGAATTCCGACCGTCACCTAGCAACCTGAGCTGAGCAGCAGCAGCAACTTACCTGATTTAAAGCGACAAGAACCCATTAAAACAGCTCATTCTGAAACTGAGCCGACTAAAATTTTTGTTTTGTTTAGAGCTATCCTAACCTGTTCCAAGAAGCATAATAGAAGCATGACAGGTCACATCTAAATAATTTCTTAAACTTAAAATTTTTGAAAATACTTATTTAAATGTGATTTCTTTTTTTTGTCTTTAATACATTTGCAGAACTCTTAAAACCTTTTCCCACATTGCCATAATGAGGTATTTGTATGTGGACTTTTGAGGAAAGATATTAATGAAGTAGAATTTGGAACGAGGTTGTAACGTAGCAAAATGTGGAAAAAGTGAAGCGCCGTGAATACTTTCCAGATGCCCTGCGCCTCCAAACATCTTCACTTCTCCTCAGCAGCTAGACACTTGGAGCAAATCTTTACCAATTTCACAGCTGCAAAACAGGCGTCCAAATCATTTTCCCTGAGTCATGGGCCTTAATCAAGAAACAAACGCTCTCCTCTCCGCAGAGCTCCACGGGGACGTTCACAACCTTAACTTGATTGCGAGCTGAGAAAAAAAACAAAAGTCCACAATGTTCAGATGCAAAACAAAACAAAGACTTGTCGTCATACATCATATTGGCCTTTAATTATCTCCCTTCATCCATAATTAGTTTCCTCACACGCAGCGTAATAAAGCTCCCGTTTGGAATCAGACAGCTGGGGGTTTTAATTAAAAAGACGGCCAATAAGTGGAGAGATTGCTGCGATTTTTTTTTTTTTACCAGGGTCTCATCTGGCAGTGGTGGGCTTAACCTTTGTCTGTGTTGCTATGGCAACTAATGGATACCTTCGTCAAAGTTTAAACGGTAGCCCGGGTGTGTGAGAGAGACGGAGGGAGGGTTTTTCTCTGCTTTAATAGCCTTTCGGAGAAGATAGCGGCCGATTAAAATCTTGTATCAGCAGGTTGGGGCTAAAAGAGCAGTAATGGCTTTGGTGCACCTCTTAATTGAATCCGGGCAGAAAAAACAAGAGGAGTTAGAGGTAGATGCACCTTATCAGACGGTTTTATCCTCAGAGGTTGAACTAATCTCATTTTGACTCCCAGTGTATCTCCTGTGATTTCTTTTAGTTTTCATTAAACGGCACATGAAAACCAAAGAGAACAGAAAAGGAGCTGTAAGCGGATTTAGTGCAGAAACATGCAACGCGCTGTAATAATGTGTAATAATCTGTACTAATGTGTAATAATGGCATCTGCAGCTGTTTATCAAACACTGAAGCCCTTCGTCACATGAGCGCAGTGTTTCAGCAGCTTGGCCGGCGGGAAAGCATAAAGTGTATCATATATTAGGTGCAAAGTCTTTGGTCAGCAAAGCCGAGGAGATCCAGAGGACAGGCGCTCATTTCCTGAGTGATTCATAATGCTGAGGCGGCATTCGCCAATGAAAACGGCTTCAATTCAGGGCTTCATGTAGTGTTATGATCTTACTTTCATTTCCTGCTGCTCTTTCCTACTTCCTTCTTCCTTGTGTCGTTCTTGTTTCCTTTCTTCCTTGGTTCCTTCCCTCATTTTTCACATGGTTCCTTCCCTCCTTGGCTCCTTTATTCTGGATTTATCGTATTTGGACCTAAAGAGTAACAATCTGCTCTTCTGGTTCTGCTCTACATCCCCAGAACCAAACATGGAGAAGCAGCATTCATCTTCTATGCACCAGAAATCTGTAATCAGTTCTTCCCTCCTTCTTTCCTTCCTTCTTCCCTTCCTTTACTCTAACTCTGTCTCCTTTTTGTGCTCTCACATGTTGGCGCCGCTGCAGGCTTGCCCTGACAGTGATGGTGTTTGTGAACTACGGTGGAGGCGGCTACTGGTTCTTCCAACACGCTCCCTGGAACGGTGAGGCTGAAGAGCAGAACCTGCATGAATCTACGGAACCAGAACCGATTGGGCTCTGCTAGCAAGAAACCTGAACCTGCTAATTACAAATAACATTTCCTCATCGTGGCTGCTGCATCGTCTAAACTGTGGTCAGCCTTCATGATGAATGGAGGACAAACATGGAGGCATTCGGACGTTTGTTTTATTTTAAATCCAGCTGAAATGACAGATTTATTTTGAGAAGTCAGAGATAATCAGCTGAATCTATCTTGTTAAAACATCTTCAGTTCGGTCAACATTGTAGCATTTTACAAACCTTTACACCTTGGATTGTTTTGTTGAGGATTGCTAATTTTACTGCTAGGATCTATTTTTAGGTCCAGTTTTGTTTGTTCCATAATTTCTGTGGAAATATTTACATCTTATAATTATAACTAGCTAACAGTAATTTTAGCTGTTATGATATTGCTAATAGGTAGTTAACAATAAGTTTAGATAAACCAATTTGCCAACAGCTGCTAGCTTTTGTTGTATTGCTAACACCTAGCTAAAATAATGTCTAGCTATTTGTTGTTATGTGAAATAGAGCGCTAACAGCAAATACAGCTGTTAGCTATTGTATTGCTAATAGCTATCTAATAGCTAGTGGACAGTTAACTTAGCCGTTAACATATTGCTAATTGGAGGGTGCTGTGGTGGCGCAGGGGCAAAGGACAACCCATGTAGCTCTCATGGCAGTGGTCGCAGGTTCGATTCCCAGCCTGGCAACATTTGCCACATGTCTTCCCCTTCTTTCCTGGCAAACTACTTTCACATAAAGGCCACTAGTGCCAACAAAACCTTAAAAAAACATGTTATCATGTTGTTAATGGCTCGTTAATAAGCTTAGCTGAATTAATCATATTGCTAATACCTAGCATATCCAGCATTGTTGGTATAATCCTGTGGGATTAATATAGTTTACTGAATCTGAGCCCTGAGTCAGTAAAGCTCCAGTGAGTCTGTTTGTTTTGATCACTGATTGCTGTATTTGTTGCAGGTTTAACGGTGGCTGATCTGGTCATGCCCTGGTAAGACCAGCCTGACATTTTCTCTCAGCCTGCGTGAACGTTGCGCGTCTGAATGACATCCTGGTGTTTTGTCTTGCAGGTTTGTGTTTATAATTGGGACTTCGGTGGTTTTGGCCTTCAGCTCCATGCAGAGGAGAGGAGTCGGCCGCCTGCAGCTGCTGAGAAAAATCACCTGGAGGACAGTTGTGCTGTTGATAATCGGCTTCTGCTTTCTCAACTATTCTCCCCGAGATGGACCGCGTAGGTTTAAAACAAATCCCATAAAATGTTGTTTAAACCAGAGCTACAGAGCAAATCAGCATTACTGTGAACGGTTTGACATTCCAGGGTAGGAGCTTGTAGTGAACGATCTAAACAAATGGATGCAGACAAAATTATACCAAATGATAGTAACAATACTCCATACTGAATCTGGTAAATACATATCAAGGTTTCACCGACTCTGGGATGTAAAGCCATACAGCCAGTACTTTACAACAGCGCCCCCAGTGGCTGGATGATTGACAGCTAATAGGCAAACTAAATAATTAGCTATTAAACAAACTAGATAATTCAACTAAATATTAGATTACAAACTAAATATTTAGCTTTAAGATTAAATATTACATTTGAAAGTTAAATATTTACTTTGCAAACTAAATATTTATATCCAAATTAAATATTTAGTTTGTAGCCCTTTTAATGAATAAATAAATAATATGATGAAAATATAACTTTGAAAAATGAACACCCATTTTTAAAATTAATTATTGCTGTTAATTTTTTACTGTGTAACCTCATAAAATGGGTTCGCCTCCACAATTGTGATTAAAGTTATTTCAGTGACTTGGCTGCGTTGGCGCTCCTTGTTGCACATCAGCCTCCGCGGTGCTAATGGACGTTCCTGCACGGATAACTGGGTTAGGAAAATGCTGCTGTTGAGTGCGCAGAGGCAAGGTCCCGCGGCTGGGGACGCCAAACTGAGCCGAAACGGCGGCTCTTTGGGTAATGGGCGATTACAAACAGATAGAGTTACAGGCCTGCTGCAGCTGCTGGACTCTGCGGATCCACAGCGGCTTTGCCCTCCGTCTCCAAGGACGACGCTTTGCGTCTCTCAGTCCCACGGTTTGATCCAATAAGGGAATGGAGTCACGTCAGCTCGAAACGCCGAACCCTTTCAATGTCAGTCGACAGAGAGGAGGAGGCACTAACCTTTGTCAGAAGCAATAAATTACACCGTGGAATAATGGAGAAATCAAGAGAGGTTCGGTTCAATAGCTTAGTATAGCTTTAGAAAGCTAATATATTTTAATTACATTACATCAGTTGTGTCCAAACTTTTTTTCCCCCGGAGCCAAAACTGGTAAATTTTAATTGGTTTGCCACAATTCCTTAAATAAAACATGCAAAACTTAGTTTACTGGACTTTTTTTAAATTTTATTTTAGTTTTACCTGCTGAGCAATAAAATACATTTTTATTACATTTGTATATGATATAATATTTAAATTTACAGGTTAGCTAGCTTGATGCTTTTACCATAATCATAAAAACTAAGAAATAAATGGCTGAAAATTTTCCCTCCTCTCTGAAATTAATCTACATAATTTATGTTTCACTTTTTGAGTTGAATTTCTGAAATAAATAACATCCTAGCCGAATAAAATACACCTGTTGTTCTGTGCACAACACAATAATATTTCAATAAACAGATAATTTAACTGTAAAACAAAAACATTTCTGACTTCCTACTGCCTCTCTCCTGTAAGTGCTCAGACGCCGATATCAGCCACTTCTCACTGTTATTGAATGTATTTTAACTTCCTGGAAGCGTAAATCCACCAAAAATGAACGATAATGTGTAAAAACTTTCTTTTCTCAGCTTTCCTGGGTGTAAATTACCTTTAACGTACAGATTTAACTGAAGTATCGTCGGTGGGAGCTTCCTCTCCTCCTGCGAACGGAGACACTTCCGCCTCTTATTTGATTTGTTCATTGGATCAATGATTGGGATCGGATGGTTCTGCTGCACTTTGTGTGACAAAGGTCTCCAATTAACTAATGTGCAGATCACAATCAATCACAACCAACAGATAACTGGAAACTTGCTTCGTTCTTGACATTCAAATATCTTTCTGGACCCAATTCTGCCCGTATTGGAACATTGTTGAGTAATTTTTGCCCACTGTTGGATGTGCTGATGTTGGATGTGCTGATGATGTTGGATGTGGTGATGATGTTGGATGTGGTGATGATGTTGGATGTGGTGATGATGTTGGATGTGGTGGCGATGTTGGATGTGGTGGCGATGTTGGATGTGGTGATGATGTTGGATGTGGCGATGTTGGATGTGGTGGCGATGATGTTGGATGTGGCGATGATGTTGGATGTGGCGAAGATGTTGGATGTGGCGATGATGTTGGATGTGGCGATGATGTTGGATGTGGCGATGATGTTGGATGTGGCGGTGATGTTGGATGTGGCGGCGATGTTGGATGTGGCGGGGATGGTGGGTGTGGGGGGGATGATGGGTGTGGGGGGGGTTGTTGGTGGGGGGG